AATTCCCACCGAATTCTTGGCAAGAGTTTTCACCTCATTCTCACCATCTAACCGCCGATCTGTCGATCAGCTCGAGTCCAATCCAAAGGCTCCAACTCCAGCGATCAGTCATTCCCATCACGCAGCACTCGGGCAAAAACAATTAATGCCTGGCCGAAGGAATCAAATGATATTTGGCCAAGGACAGGGAGAAAGGACAAGAACAAGACAGCGCCATGGTGCCAGGCGCAACCACGATTTATAGCCCGGCTGGAATGTGCCATACATCAGTTCAGTTCAGTCCGCAGGATCAGAGGAGCAAAAACCATTTAGCATTTTAGCAAGGAGGCGCAGCAGCAGTATCTGTTGTATCTGCTGCTGCTGTCGATGATTAAAACACATTAAAAATCCAGTAGCCATCGACTATTGGATGGGAGGTTTTTCGGTGATTCGGTTTTTAGCCGCTCGCTGCCTTCCGATTTTTCGTGGTCCCCATTTCGCCTTTCTCGAGGCCCCAAACTAATTTCATATTTTTCATGCAATTGATGAAATTCCATCAAGCCTCCTTTCTTGGCTGCTGCTGCTGCTGCTGTGTGTTGATGTATCTGCATCTGTATCTGTGTCGCAATCAGAATCTCCGACTCACCAGTCCGTCTGTCCATCTGTCTGCATCTTGAAGATCGCTTGATGTTCGGGGACTACCTGTTGCGATGTGTTATTAGGCGACGTATTGACGACAAGCAAACGTCAACCCGAAACGTCAGCTCATCATATCATCGATTGATGCGCATCACTACCTCTTTTTTTACCCCCCTTTTTTTTTTTTTTTTTTATTTTTTGGGGCCTTCTGTGCATATTTTTGGGACTCCAAAACAGAAGCCCTCTGCTTGTCCTGGAATTTCTGAAAAGAGCGGGGGGCTGGAAAGAAAAAACACGTCCAATGTTGGGCCTCTAATTTTGTGCAGATCCGAGACTTCTTCCCCCTTTTCCTTCAACCTGGTGATATTTGTTAGTGTAAACTGTTCGTTCTTGTTCTTCCTCCTCTGCTTCTTCTTCTTCTTGGGGCTACCAGCGGGACCGACGTGATTTTGCGCTTTAATGAGGATTATTAAATGCGAGATTATTATGTGCTGCAATTACTTTCCGCTGCCACTGTGCTCGGTGCTCGGGGTTTCTTTTCGCCACTGCCTCTTCATATTCGGGTTTTTCCCCCTCTTTGATTTATTTTATTGAACCATAAAAATGTAAATTTTCGCGAGACAAAAGACAAAGATAATCGTTGTCAATTATGGCCTTTGACAGGTTAATATTAAAATGTTCAGCTTGATGGGAGGAAAGTGGTGGAAAAGGGGAGGAAAGGGGAGGAAAGGGGGTTCGAAGGGGGCACCTTGATTGGCAGCATTCAGCGAGGATGATCGGCTGGAGAAGATCAGGAGCCGAGCGAGTTGATTAATGCCTTGGTTAGCTATAAATAAGCGGATGGAAAAGGGCGATCGAGAAGGGATTAATTGGGGTTTCTTAGAGCTTGATATATATCATAGGGTTTTTACAAGGTTTTGCATATTTTAATAGCGTGATATATGCCGGGGTATAACTGAAAAATAAAACAGAATCAAAGAAAGACTCTTGAGGAAAAAACCAACTAAAACCAATCTCCAAATTTGCATGGAAATTTTTAAAATAATTTATTTGAAACCGTCTTACTTTTGTATCATCACGAGTATAAATAAAAAACTATCTTTCCTTCGACGTTAATTGGAATTTCGGTTAATATTTAGTTTCAATAGATAACTATACCATCTCGGATAACTTTTGTGATAATATACTCCTCTTTGAAGAACCCTTTTCATATATTATTACATGAAATTTGGATTGCTATTAGTTTCAAGAGTTTTCTTATTACGACGATAGACACCTCTTTTGAGAACCCTTTTTACCTTTCATTATATTGCCTCCCCTTGATGACTCATTCAGTGGACCCATTCGCCACTCGATTCCCGTATAGGATCAGCAGCTCCATTCGTCGATCAGCGTTAATGCCATGCATTTGGTGGCAGCCCTTGAAATGTTTGATTATTTCGCAATTTGTGCCCGCTGGCACTGCAGTTTCCGGCACCGAAGAGCGCCGTCCTCCCCCTCGGGCGGGATGCGGAAACAGGAATACCAGGAGGGCTACGAGGGGATGCATGGAGGGAATTCTAAGGGGCAGCACCTCTATTAACATAATCACAACACGAGTCGGTCGTCCGTCGATCTCGAACCAATCGCCAAGCAACCGAAAATTACGGCAAGTGCGATCGCGGAGAATATTGTATGTGCATACGAGTTGTATATTTTTTGGGAGAGGCGGCGGCGGCTTCATGGGTAGATCAATTTTTCGGGAACCCAAATCACTGCAGGGCGATCAATTAAAATTTTGATCGAATTTTCGTCAATTTCTTGACATGTGGCCAGGAACAGAAGCCAAGTAGCAACATCGAATGAAGGGGAAAAAGGGGGGAAAAAGAGGTGGGAAAGGGGAAAAAGGGGGGAAGGGGGAACAAGGACAAGACGAGATCAATGTAAGCTGAAATTGTTGGCTGGCGGCCTTAGGCGAAGTTTACTCTGTCTGCGGGTTTCCTTCCATCTTCCGTTGCACTGAAAAAAACCTGAGAAAGAAGTCACAAAACAAGGCTCTTAAACATAAATTATCCTCCCATAAAACCTAAGTATGATAGAAGTTATTAAAAGAGTGCAAGGAACAATGTTTCTTAAGTACCAACACCATAAAAAAGTATTTAAAAACAGATAAGGAAAACATTTCTGTTGGTCATAAAAGTCTAAAAATATGTGCTTAATTACATGACATATTTTCTTGCTGTGCAATCCCCACTTCCTCTTGGCCGTCGAAGGCTGCTGCATAGTGAATGAAATTGATTAAAGCGTAAATGAATTTTTGCGGGCCTAAATCGCCGCTGATGGCCAAGAGGAAGAGGTGGGGAGCTGGCGATGATTATAACACAAGATCGATTGCCGCTTGTCGCTGATCGCTAACTCGATGCGGCTACTGTGGAAAGCAGAGACGCCGCATCAGCTCCTTCTCGGATCCACGAAGGGCCCCCAGAAGCCCCCAAGAAACCCGAAGAAACCCAAAGAAACCCCCTGGAAGCCCCCCATTCCCCCAGTGCTCTCATTAAGTTTCCGAACATGTTTTGCGAAAAAGGATCTCCTTGGGCAGCGACTGCTGTTTTGGGCCGCTGTTTTTTTATGCCCTCATTTGACAAACTAGCCAGCGGCGATGATCGACCTGGCCGGGATCAAAATCTCGCTGCCTCGGCTTCGATTTAAGTTTATCCGCACGATCAGCGCCAAAAAGCCGAAATGCCAATGCCATAACTTTTTGCCAATCCGCACGCACAAAATCGGGATCTTGAGTGGGAACGGGATAGGGATCGGGAATCGGTATTGGGATAGGGAAAAAAACTGATGGATGGATGGATGTATGGATGGATGGAATCCCCAGGCCTAAGAATCTCCTGGAATTCCGTGCGTGCCCAGCCAGCATAAACGGTAAAAACGGTAGCCGCAGCGAGACGCTATAATTATTGGGCTCGGATCGGGATTGATAGTGGGAAAATAAAGAACTCATAAGCAGACAGAGAGTTATGGTTCACAGATGAGCTAGTTCTAAAGAATTCAAGGGGCTTTGTATAGTGTTATTACTTTATGTTGGAAGTTAAGTTAAGCCTACTTCAGATGTTAGATTTTTAAATGCCCTATTGCATTTGAAACATGAAAGTCAAACAATGAAGTCCACCATTCATTGTTTCATTTAAAGGAAAACCCAAAAAATTAATAAAAAAAAATCAATACACATGCTTAACTTTTAAGTGAGACTTTCATACCTAAATTACGTTAAAATAACAATAAATTTTGCTGAATTTAACAATTTCTAATTTAAAAACATTAAGTGTGTCAAAAATCAAAGTGCTTCTTGCCTTGGAATTAAAAATGTTTCTTTTATGCTGTGATTGTCTGCTTGAAAATAATTAAATGTTGTAATTGCTTGGCTTATGCATTTTGATGGGTCTCAAAACAAAGGCATCGAAATTGTGGCAAGCTTGCCTCTTTATGTTCTGATAACAATAAAGGAATTAAGTGCCCTGATATTACTGAAAATTGCGAAGCAGCTTGGCAAGGCGCTAGATACTTAACTTTAAAACAATAAGAGCAAAAGTGGGTTTGATATTTATTTCTGAATTTATTTTTTTGCAAAAAAACAAGTAATTAAGTAGGGAAATGTAGAAAAAAAAAGAAATGATTTATTATTAATTTAATTTGCTATAAAATCAGTACATTCGGGAATAGAGGCATATTGGGTTTCTCCATTTGAATCACTGGATTACCAATTAAGCAGCACCATCTAAAGTCCAACTCGGAATTCGGAATTCGGTCAGCACTTTGCAAGGGCAGAGGGCCATCGCTGATTTCTTTGCTTTGGAGAAGAGTCTTCGCCCCATCAATTGCCGCTTTGTGGAGTCCGGGTCTTCAGTCTGCAGACTTCGGATTGGGGGGCCTGTGTGGAGGCATTGTGAAAGAGCTTTCTGCTCTTTAATGGACTGGAGACGAGAGCCACATTAATTTAGTTACGCTTCGACAACGATCTCGACGCGCAGATCTGCGCATCATTAAAGACAATTTCGTGATTCGCCACGATTTGTGCAGCAAATTACTTGCTAAATTATAGAAAGCAAACACTGACTGACTGGCCATTGCTGTGTGCCAAAGGGGCAATGCTCACAAATCAATAGAAATCAACGCCTGTCAGGGCTGAGACTCAGATTCTCATGGCCATTGTTGACTTAATCAATAAAGCGAATTTGGGTTGTTTTCTATTTCGATCGAATCGAATCGAATCGAATGGAGTGGAGTGTGGAGTGGAAATTTCACCCGATCGTTTAGCCAAGCAAACAGTTGGAAAAGCTTTAGTGTATTCAATGGGTTTTCTTTACATTTTCTTCTTCTTTTTCGATTCTTTTCAGAGTCAGGCTTTGGCTTTAACCAGAGCTGCCAATGCGGCCGCCGTTGTGGCCGCTGCCAATGCCAAATCGCCGAATGTCTCCTCCGCTTCGGCCAGCCTGGCCGATCTGGCCGTCAAGAAGGAGCACTCACTGTCGCCGCCCCACAGCGTGGTGGGCGTGGCCGGGGAGGATCAGCTGCGCAGGGCCTCGCTGCAGGGCGTCCAGGAGAAGCTCACCCAGCTGCAGATGCAGCAGCAACACCACCAACAGCAGCAGCAGCAGCAGCAACAGCAACAGCAGCAGCAGCAACATCATCATCAGCAGCAGCAACATCAGCAGCAGCAGCAGCAGCAATCGCAGCAGGTGGCGGGTGGCGGAGTGGGTGGTGAACTGGCTGGCCGAAGGTCTTCGGAGGGCACACCACCCACCAACCACCCAACGGCGAGTGTCGAGGGACAGGCGCTCTCCTCCTCCACCGCCTCATCTAGTCAGAATGCCACGCCCAAGAGCGATCGCGAGCGGGAGAGGGAGAGAGAGAGGGAGCGGGAGAGGGAGGAGCGCGGGGAGCGGGGCAGCATATCCTGCCTCCCCCAGCCGCACTTGGAATGGCCGTGGGTGTCCAGCAGGCCCAGCAGCAGGCGGAGAAGCTCCTCAGCCATCCCGCCTTGGACTCGCGACGGGAGTTCGACGTCAGCAAAGTGAATCGTGAGTAAAGGAAACATTAATTCAATTAACTTATTAATATACTAGCTATCATAAAGGTATTAATTTACAACTTAAAAGAAAAATGTAGTAATCGTTACAGAAACATAACTAGAGATGGGAAAAAATATAGAAACGGAACTCATTTAGTAAAAAATCGTTTACTTTTTCATTAGTTAAGAGCAATTGTTTAACGATTATTAATTTTATTTTAATAAAAAAAAAAAAAACATAAAATTTAAGTTTAAATAATTTATAAATGATAAAGAATTAATTTAAAAAATCTATTTAAAAAATAACATTTTTGATCTTACTTAACTTCCTTTTTTTTTTTTTTGGGTTCTGCTATATATTATTTACAAAATATTATAAATGTTAAGTTTATTTTTTGGCAAGTGAGTTCCATCACAAAAAAAAAAACTGATAGGTGGCAGAGACATTCAACATTTACAAAAACATTGTGAAGAATTAGGCTATGCACAACCATTTTAATTCCAAGTTGAAATTGTGATAGTGGAGATTATGCGCATTCCTGCACTTTTGCTGCTTTTTAATCCGATGTTGTTCAGTGAACAAACTCTTACATTTTATATGACACAGTAATTTACATAAAAACATTCTCCTTGTGAGATTGAGAATATGTTTTAATAATTTAAATCGAAGTGAATCCCAATCAATAAGAGCAAAGAGTAGGAGCAAAATAAATAATGGAATTCACCATTATTCATAATCCAGTGCGTGATTATGTGTGTAATTAAAGGGGTTTGTGTGTGAGTGATGGATGGGGAATTGGGAATGGGGAATGGGGTTGCATTCCCCATCCGCCTTAAAGACACAACTTTAATCAGGCCAGCTGCTCAATGCTCAAGGCTCGATGCTCCATGGCAAATGGAAATGGCCGAGGCATTTGCTCTGCTTCCAAGCAGCCGGCCTAATCCATGAAAAGTTCATTTGATTTGCTCACAAGGCATTAAGCACGTATCCCACAGAGGAGAACGAATACACGAACACACGCACACCCTCTCGCACACTCACACTATCGCAAGAGCAGACAGGAGGATACGTTCCTTGAGCAATGGCCATGGTAATCTTGTTTGGTTCATCAATAGTTTAGCCATGGCCAGAAGTAAACCTGTGCCACCACATTGCGGATGCATACATTGAGTATCTGCCGGATATAAATGGAAACAGTGAAGCCTTTTGCATACCAACGATGCGCAGCACTTCCTTCAGCCACAAGGGCACAGCTACGGATACAGAGATACAGATACAGAGATACAGATACAAATAGAGAAATACAGAAACAGAAGGACTCGTATATGCATCGAAATCCCCTGGATTAAGCATATGAAGCATTCATAACGTTTATTCTGCGTGCGTGTGTGTGCTGGTATCTGTGTGAAGTATCTGTGTGTGGGTGTGCAAACATTCGCTTTTGGTTAGAAAGTGGGTGGCTCTGTTGGCCGGGTGGTGCTCACTTAGCACCCACTTGTGGAGTGAATCCCCGCAGGACGAAGGATGCATGCGGGCGTGCCTTGCTTTTGTTTGTCCTGGCTTCGAGTTCGTCTCTCTCTCTCTCTCTCGCTCTTTCTCTCTCTGTCCGGCACACACTGCGTATACGCAATCTGCGAGGATGGCAGGATGTGCGAGCACGTGTGTGCGCTGCAACAGGTGGCACTTTGCTCTGTGTGGCTTCGCCGCATCGCAAATAGTTGGCCAAACAATTGACTCGAGCGATAAATATCACTGTTAATATTTCAGGTCATCCGAATACTTTAAGCTTTCTTTTCCCCAAACGATATGGCCCAGAAAAAAAAATCATTGAAGGCTTAAACCAACTGCAGCAGAGGGGATTTGATTTGAATTTTGCTGCTGTGAATTTGTGAATGTCTCTCTCTGTCTCTCTCTCTCTGTATTTGTGTGTGTGTGTGCGTGCGTATCTGTGTAATGTGCTTTGTAGCATATTTTGAGGATTTGCACAACAAAACGTGGATGGAGCGAGTTGAAGGGGGAAGGGGGGAGGGGTGGCGAATGGATCCAATGGATGCCGAATCCTACGACCTACGGATGGGGCTCAATGCAGTTTGGTTTGCTTATTGTTGCCGTCATTTGGCATTGTTATTGCTGTTCTTGTTATTATTGTCATTTAACATTGCCATTTCCGAACAGCTGCAGCTCAGCAATATGTGTGTGTTAGTGTGTGTGTGCGAGTGTTTGTGTGCGTGGGTTCATATGTAAATCTGTTTTGTTTCGATGCGTTTTGTTGTGCATATTTCCCGAGTTGTGAATGTGTGTGCGTGTTTATTGCGCCTAAGCTGCTCAGCGACGCAACACGATATTTATCCTGCCGCCACCACCCAATTCGAAACCCCACCACCCCCCTCTACCCCTTCCACCCCCTTTTCCCCCCTTTTTTGGCAGCTGGACTTTTCCATTTCGGAGGCCATTTTTATGCTCCTGTTTTTGCTGCGCTTCGATTTATGCAGAGTTTAGTATGCAACATTTTCATACGTTAGCCTTAATAAATCCCCGCCCGGCTGCACTTGTCAATATGCAGGATGTCCCCTTCCCCTTCTTCCTTTCGTCCTGCAGATGCCACACTGTTGGCACCTATAAGCCTATGCAAACACACACACACACACACACACACGCATACAGACACACATAAAGCAGACGCGTTCTGCAATTGAAAATCACTGCGCCTTAGTTAACGACACGTTTGTGGATCAACGCGTTCGGGAAAACGAAACAGCCAAACAGCCAAACAGGCAACCCAAAACCCCACGGTTGACCCTGCTATTGAATCATTGTTGCTTTTGCTTTTGCTTTTCCCGCTACTCCTGCTGCTGCCTCTTCTCCTCTTCTTGCTCCATCGAAAAAGTGGAGCAGCTGCATTCGCATGTGTCATAAGCCAGGCGGCACCATGCATACAGGACTCTGTGGACATAAGCGCGCGCTCAAGGATTCAAAAAATGGGCACCCCCGCTTCGATCGGCTATTATGCAGATGTCATACGTGTGTGTGTGGGCTGGGATTGTATAATGAGATGGGAGGAGGGGAAAGTAGAGGGGGTGGGGGAGGTAGCTGTACCCCAAAGAACCCACCGATAAGCTGACGATGGACGCACAAGTGTCGGCAAAGCCGAGGCAGTAATATTCCGGCTTTTGAGGAGTGGGTTTCCGGAGTGCTGGCGGTAATCATGGGGACACAATAGCATTGACCAGCTCCTGCTGCAGGATAAGAGAAGCTCCAAAGCTGGAGAGCAGCCCAAAAGGAGGAGCAGCCGGTTTCGCAATCACACGCAAAACTAGCTTCGACTTGGAGCCACTCCTCTTTACCCCAATCCAACTGCCACTCCCCCTCTTCACTCACCTGTGAGGGGAGTGGCTAAGCCCTGGACCCATGAATCCAACGATGGGAGAGGAGAGGGGGTGGGGGGTGCGACAGGTGGGCGGTTGAGCGGCTGCAGCTTAAGTGTTAAGCGTTATGCACAGTGGCCAGTGCCGAGCTGAATGATACCACTCACCTAAGCCGGTTCCCAAAAACCCACTAGCTCACTGGCCACTCCCCAAACACCAATCCCCCCCCTCTCCCCTTGCCCTCCCTCTTTTACCCCACATATGCTCTGGCATAGATGCAGATGCGGATACAGATACAGCCTCAGATTGAGATACAAATTCGAATAAATGCCAAAAGCAACAGGAGGCAACATTTCCGAATTATAAGCAAAAAGGGATTGGCCCGAACAACAACAACAACAACAAGTTGGAGCATTAAAGCCGGTTGTTGCCAGCCAGGCACACACTCACACACAAACATACACAGACTAACACACACCACAGTATACGCACACATTGGAATACATTTAGCCAGGACATCGCCAGGAGCTGAAGGCAGGTGCTGCAGGTGATGCTGATTGAGTTAAGCCACCATCATCGAGTGCACTGCAAAATGCTTAAGGGATGCACTTCTTAAAGGATGAAAAAGGATTACAAGTTAGGAAATACATAATGAGATTAAAAAAATACATATAAGGAAAATGATATTATATATTTGATTATAGAGTTAAAAAAAACTTATGGGATGCGTTAAAAAAACCAATCAATTCAAATGTTTTTTTTTTAACTTCCCTTTCGGCACTTTCCCAATCAGCTAATTTACCCTGTCATTTTATCAACAATATTGCAGAGAATCTGTTGAAAATTGAATTAAAAAACAAATATTTTCAAATTAAAAATATTAAGAACAGCAAATATATTTGTTGCACATTATATTACAATTATGTTGCATACTACTATTTTTGTATATTACTCAAAAAGATAATTCATCTGATTTTTTAAAATTATGTTTATTTTGTTATTGTTGTAATCTTACGAATTTATATCCTTTCTTCGCGTGCATCTGTGAAAGAAGATTTCGCATCCAGTGGGTCCCTTTATCCCTCGCACAAAGAGAACTACAAATTTTAAGGATTTAAATGTTGGGAGAGGCGAACGAATCGAACTCTCGTAGCTGCCGCAACGGGAGATGAGCCGAAAGCGGGCACATCCTGCATCCCACTCGCCACCGATTCCTCCAACACTTCCCACCGACAACTGGCAACCTGCAACCAACAACCTGCAACCGGCAACCTGCAACGTGCAACGTGCCACATCCCCCGAGCAACTTGAAGCCCGATTCGAGCGGCTTAAGGCTCTCTGTGCGTTTGGGTTCATAATCGAATAAATACTGTCTGTGTGCCGAGTGTGATTATCAAAACAGAAGTACACACAGAAGCCACAGGAACAGAAACAGAAGCAGAAGTAGCAACTATAAATCACTTGCATTAACTTTGAGCGCTTTTGTGCGAATACAAATCCGTATATATATAGATATATATATATGGATGTGAAAGTGCGTATCTATTAATACACAAGTGGCATTATGCCGGCAGCACATTTGTAATTAGAGAACGAACAGCTCTGGCCAGAGGTTCGATTATGAATATTATAAGACTCGGCATT